AGTGCAGAGGGCAAATGCTTCCTGCGCAGACAGTTTCCGGGCAAAGTTTGACATCATCGTCTCAACCAGGTAACCTCCTTTCAGTTGCCTGGATGACAAGAACTGGCTGGTTAAGACGGGATGGCTTTTGAAAGAACAGATTACAAATATTAAAGTGCTATTAGATAGTTTGTGTAAAATACCTGAGGGTACTAATCGCCTTGGCCTGCTAGACACTTACCCCAAACCCCAGGGATACCCCCCCTTTCCAGACAACTGTCCCTCCCTGGGGATATTTGTCCCCTTCTTGGGCATCTATCATTGGTCATTTCCGCACCTCTTCCATGTTAATAAATGATCAGCAATTACATGCAATTCAAAAAGGCCTTTGCAGGCTGTGTATGCGCTCTGGAGCCGAAGGTGTCATTGTGTTTCCTCCACATTCGTGGTCCAGAGTGACCCAGTCCCTCCCATTTCAGTTATGCCGGGAAACGCAATATCTCCAACATGGCCATTATCGACGTCAAGATGCTCTCTGGCTTCGTACCTGTCAGTTCATCCCTGCAAAAGGTAAGGAATGGCAGTGACATGAATAAGCCACCTCAGGGGAAGAGGGGGTTACAGAATATTACAACATGGACTGGATAAAAAAGGGGGCCTGGTTAGCACCGAGAAAACACTTTCCGAGGGATTTTAATGTGTCTGTAGCACTTGAATAGATTGTGTATTCTCAGCCTGGGGGTCACACCCTCCAGGAGTCCTGAGCAGGGGTCAGGGTGTCACAACTACCCTGTTTCCTAGATTGCTAAACTGGACGGAGTTCCCAGATAGAGCCTGGTTAAATGGGAGTGAGATTCAGGGGAGGGAGGTGTCCTAATATGGACAAGGTTGAGGATCACTGGATTAGATTAACCAACTGGAATTCCAAACTGACTGTCTCCTGTATAACTGTTTAGGTATGTGCATTTCCTGACAAAGCCACTATACACTTGGGTCTCTATCACGTGATTATTTTTATTGACCCATGTTATCCATTAGATAACACTTTGGCTCAGTCATTTACTGCAGATTCTGGGGTGTCTTGCTTTCGGTGATTATTAATATTTTAATGTTTCCCACATTTCCTCATCTAAAGCTTCGTGAGGATCAGAAAGTGATGGTGATA